TCTTAATACTACATGCAGGTTGTTAAAAAGGTAACATTTATTTCTTAGTACTCTACATAGGTTGTTGAAAAGATGACAAGCATGTGACTCCCCCTCTCAGTAAATCTAAAATTGATCCTCAAGGGAATGTCAAGTTTTAAAACATGTGTATATGTATAGTGCTAACACAAGATACACTGACTCTAAGGTTATTATCTATATTTTTCATGCCTTACATATTATTCAGTGTCATTTCCTATTTTGTCTTTTATCTGTGATTATATTTATTATCCTCTTCAGAAAGTGATAACCCTTTTGTAAGCCTCGACAAAATCTCTACAAATCTAATATTTTTGTCTGTATATTTAGAATTTAAAACTAATCTTTGCAAACCCCTGCAGTTTCTGAGAAGCTTTTCTCTGAGGTATCGCACCTTCTTTTAATGATCACATTGAAGATAATTTTGTTTGTGCTTTGGATAAGTAAATGGCCCCATTTAGCTGCAATTCTCTTCTAACAAGAATTGCACTGTAATAGCAAAAGTGTCAGGTAATTAAAATCCTTTCTTTTTTTTTTCTTTTAACATGCTGAGCTCTCAGCCCTTTATTTCTACCAGTGATATCATGTTGAACACATCTCTTTACCTTGCGGAGTGTGAATTAACTGCTGGGAGTTTTCGCTCTTTTCATAAATCCTATTATCCTTTTCATGTGGACTTGGTGTCAGCGGCAGCTCTTTCTTGCTTGGGCTCTGAGGGTCTTTGCTGCTGCCACAGAGCGGCCAGCTGTGATCCCCCTCATGTCCTTGCAACTTTGCTGGGTTCTCTTACTGTCTTTCATTTAGGATTTGTTCTTTTGAGGCTTTGGCGTATACTTTATCTTCTGTAAATGTTCTAGCATATGGTCAGCTGAAATTGCTTTGAAGGTTTATGAATGGCCAGTGCACAATTGATAATAGAATTAGTAGGGAAAAGTAATGAATGTAATAAAGCTAAGATGAGGGACTATAGAATGGATTTGCTTTTTGTATGTGCCTTGCAGGCATTGGCTTAGTCTTTGATTTTGTCGTTGTTGTTGTTGGTTTTTTTCCCAGTACCGGGAATTGAACTCACGACCTTGCGCTTGCCAGGCAGGCGCTGTGCCACTGAGCTAAATCCCCAGCCCCAAGTAATGAATGTAATAAAGCTAAGATGAGGGACTATAGAATGGATTTGCTTTTTGTATGTGCCTTGCAGGCATTGGCTTAGTCTTGACAATAATCCAGAGAGGTAGGTACCATAAGCTTTCTCATCACATAGGCTCTTCATGCTACGCTGCTCACTGAGCAATCAGAACAGTAGAAAAGTTTGTGTACATACAATGTTTTGGAATATAGTTACTTACCAGAGATATTTAAACAGTACAATCAGTGGTATGTGAATACCTATTGTAGCAATGCTACCAAGCTGGTAATATGAAATAGCAGACAGAATGGAAACTAGCAAACATTTTATCAAAAAAAAAAAAGAAAGAAAGAAAGAAAAGAAACAACCTACCACTGACTATCTTTTCTGTCAGAATAAACTTCTCACACCTCAAACTACAGTGTTGGACTTGTTTCGTATTTAGTTTGTATCAACTGTCAATCAACTCTTTCGTTCAGTATTGGAAATTCTAATCTAGGCAATTTATTAGCAAAATAAGTCATGTGGTTTCCCATCACAATTTTGATTAAAGTCTGATGTACTCTTGTCCTCACCACTCTCCACAAAATGATTAATGTCTGCTCATAATTGACAGGTACATTTCTTTATTCAGCGGGGAACATTCACTTCAATTCTGTGATCCTTAAATTGCAACAAAGGTGCATAACAAGCCAAGCTTGTCCTGCTCCTTGGTCCAGGCTTGGGATGGTTGAGGTTGGCCTGGCTTCCTACTTGTGAACGGCTTTCTCCTGTGAGTTCATCCTCTCCTCATCCAAGCTGTCACCTGTTTCTGCTTTCGTTTTTCTGAGTTCAGTGTCAAAAGCTATCAAGACTTTGTCCTTCTATATCACCCAAGTCAATGGGCAATGGGCACAGTTCAGGATAGGGGATTTGAGTAAGAAAAACCTAAGCTAGAAGCCTCGTTGTTCTATTTACTAGTTGCAATATTCAAGGCATGTCCCCTAAAAACAGGAATAATGATGTCTACCTCCGAGGCTGTGGCAAAAGTTACATGACAATAAAGCTGTCACAGTGTTTCCACTGGTGGAAACAATTTTCTTCTCTTCCCTCCCTCTTTTCCCTCCCTTCTGCTTCTGTCCATTGCACTGCTTCCTCCTCCCTCCTCTTCCTGGTTCTCCTAGTCTTCTTTTTTCTCTTCCTGCTTACAGCATATAATCATGACTGCTATTTCTTTGTTTACCCAGATTTATTCCACCCATGCCTGAGTTCACTCAAGGGTATACGTCTTCACTGTAGCAAAGATCAGATCATGTTCCAAGCGCACATATAAAGGGCCTGACTTGTTTTTCCATAGGAGGAATGTGATGTCCACATATAAGGAAATAAGTTACTTCTACTCTTGGATTCTCTTCTTTGTGGTACTTCGCTGAACACCAGGTCTGGGCTCAGAGCAGCTGTGCTCCTAGGTGAGACCAGCATGTGGGCACTCGTGAAGTTTACATGAGCATTAGCTTTAGATCCCCACCCACTGTACATGTTTATTGCAATTCAGTTAACTTGTACCAGGTCAGAATTTGATCCAGAGGTCCCTGGTAGGGACAGTATACCTTAAAGGTAGCCTGCCACGGTCTTTATTTTTCTTCAAATAGCTGAATCCCTTCAGGAAATTATTCTACTTTCTTTTTCCAAAGAAAAAATTATACTTGTGGTTTGGCTGCTAGAAGATTTTGGATTTGCAGAAGATGACTAGTGTTAATTTATGCATCATTTGGCATGAATTTGCATAATAATTCAAGCACACATTCCTGGGTAGAAGACACAATTAATTAGCCTGACCTGTTGACATTTTATTTCAAACATAAAATCCAGAGTGTGCACATGTGAAATGTATAATGGATTTTTCAACCATTAATTTAATCACATTCTAGATTATATTTCAACAAACAGAAATAAAGGAAAAGGGTTAATGGAGCTCAGGATGAAGCCTCAGAGAAGAGCCAGGGCAGGGCTCAGGTGTGGGCTGGTAGTAACTAATTGATAGTATAATATATATATATAATTAATATATAATTTCTTCAGGACAGAGAATCACCAGTTAATGCCATAACTTCTCTCCTGTTTCTGTACCTGAATTTGTTAAATCTTCATTGTCTTCTTGAGTGCTCACTTCCTGGTTTTCAGATGATTGCTTTTTCCCCAGGTCTTCCACTGTGTTATATGAATCATAGGTCATTGGAGAAACAGAACCATTAGAATATGCGGATTCATAGAAGAGGTCTGGTGCAGGGACGGGCTCCTGTTTTATGGAGCCCATCTCCCACTATACATTACCTGCAAGCTGAGAAATCTGCAGTGTCAGTCAGGCCAAGTCCAAGACCTATAAACCATCTTGCCTGATGGTCGGTTTTCCAGTCTGAGGCTGAGGGCCTAAGAACTGGGTGTGAGAGGTAGGGGTTGTCACTGATTTAAGTTCTGGAGTCCACAGGACAGAAAAGCAAGAACTGTGATACCTGACAGCAAGACAAAGTGGATGTCCCAGCTGAAAGAGAGAAAATCCACCCTTCCTTTTCTTTGGTCCAGGCCCTCAGTAGATTGGATGCTGCCCTCCCACACTGGTGGATCACATTTACGGTGGATCATTTTTAGGTAGCCCAGGGATCATGTGCTTATTTCTTCCAGAAACATCTTTATAGCTAGAAATCATCTTCTGCCACCTCTCTGGGCAGCCGTTAGCCCAGTCAAGTTGATATATATAATTAACCACCACAATGTGTGTATAAAATACATAAATTTAAAGATTAATAGTAAAATAGAGATACATGTACCTGCCACTTAGAATAAGACAGAACAAGGGCCTCCCTTCAGCCCTGTTCTGGTAGGATAATTGCTGTACTACTTCAGGTGTTTGCTTTTTGGTTGAGTTATACATTTACCACTAGCATATGCATCTCTAGACCAGGGATTGGAAAAACTGAGTTGCAAACCTAAACCTCTCTGCATAAAGAAAAAAAGATGCATTCAGTTTTGGATGAAGGCTCACAAGAGAGCAGAAATGAATTTCTGGTCACTGTGTGGCTTCAATTTGGAAGCTCTGCGGGAAGCTCACAAAGATTTTCTTCTATTCTCTAACCTATCTCTTCATTCTTCATGGTTCCCTTTGCCATGCAAAAACTTTTTATTGTGATTTAGTCTCATTTGTTGATTCTTGTGTTACTTGAGTTCTTTTCCTTTGCCTCCTCCTTCTTATCCTTTTTCTTCTTTCTCTTCCTCTACTCTTTCTCCTTCTCCTTTTTTTTTTCAGATTTTGTGCCTTTAATTCTGGTTGTTCACCATGACGCAGCAACAGTACCTTAAATAGCTCATAATTAGGGAGTTGTTGCAAACTGACAGAAAGAAGGTAAAGCCCCGTGAATGTAGCAGGGAAAGGAGTAGTGTCCAAAATCATGAATGTTCAGTTTCTCTCTGAGATCTGCATCCTCACGTTGTCTAGTGCAAATGCAGGCATATATTATTGCTGGATGTGAGCAGCCTTGTGATTCAGCCAGCCCATTGTTTGTGTGGTATTATACTTCACTGCAGGGCCACAGAGCTAAAATGAGCAGTAGGCCGGACAGCAAGGGACAACATAGATCATGCAAGAGAAGTTTGTGACAACTACGAACAAGAGACTGAAATCATAAGGCAGGTGTAGGGAGAGGGTACTCACCTCTGTGTGTGAAGAAACAGGAGAAACATCTGGAGAAGCATCTGGAGAAGCATCTCCAAGCCCTGGAATATTTATAGCATATTTAATTTTTAACCATGAGAAACACATTTATGCCAATCTAGAAAAATCAAATATGTTATTGTAGATTTTTCTTTTTTCCTTCACCCTTAGCCATTCCTCTGGGTATTCTAGTTGTCCGTGGAGACTGTGATTTGGAGACTTGCCGTATGTACATAGACCGCCTACAGGAGGTGAGTTTACTTAGCTGATTGTTTATTTCTTTCAGCTTTCCACTTATATGAACAGTTACTGGCCATGTATATATCTCAGGAATGACACAGCTGGGGGAAGATGGAATGGAGGTGGCCTTGTCCATAGAGCATACACTGTTTATCTCCCCCACTGTACCCCTTGTTTTTCCCTCCTTCTGTGGGTGAAATGGGAAAGGATTGATTGGGTTAACGATGGGGTGCTGCTGCTCTAGTGTATGCTATAACTATAGCTCAGAACCTCTGTCTTCTCGCCAGACTACATACCTGTATTTTTTTGAGCTATACAGAATTTCAAACAGCACTAATAAATAATGAAAGAAAACAGACATTTGAGGTTACTTTAATGTTTTGTATCTGGCACAGATGTTGGTCAGAGACAGCTAGGTTTTTTTTTAAAAAATGAAACTTCTATAGGACAGAATATTTTATATTCCTGGAAATTTGTCAGAACACAAAAGAATAATCTCTCTGTTATTTTTTTCCTGACCCAATCTGGTCTTACCATATGGAAACAAAAGGGAAAAGATCCTATATATTACATCCCCATGAATCTGAAGTGCACCAACAATGCCAGGAGACCCAAGTGCATCATCACCACCATTGATTGTTTTGGAAATATTTCAAAGGGGAGAACTTACTGTCATCATTCCACAAACAGAAAAACCATAAATAACCATTTCTTTATTATTGTTTCTTGATGAATGATAGTTATGAACATCACCTTTCTCAAATGGGGCTGGAACACTTTTATCTTCAAACGGTTGGGTGATTCCGACGGGTACCCCTACATAAGCAGCTCCACCCCACTATACATAACTAGTATAATAAAGTATATATATATATATTTTTTTTAAACTCCAAGTTGTGGCCAGTTAGTTGTGAATATTAGATTTTATTTCTTTTGATAGAAATAAAGATGGGAGGAATACAATAGTGTAAAAATTACTATTTTTTCTCTATCAGTAATAAGGATAGAGGTGGATTTATGAATGCAGAAATTTAGAGAGAGCTGATCAATTTTAAATATTGACCTAGGTGAGAGCAGAAGAATCAGCAAATTTTATATTGCTGCCTCATTTAGCTACTTTGACCAAGTGTGACTACTTAAAACCAGTTAAAATTTGTGAAATTTTTAGCTTGGAGTTCATGTCCAAATTTATATTCTCAGAATCCATGGCATCTCAATTTTCAAAATAATATGTTATTGCAGAATGTCACCCAATGAAACCTGCAATAAAAAAATGACTCATAATTGGTAGCAAGCTTTACTTTTCTTGTTATGAAATTTAACTCTCAAATAACTTTTACAAGATTTCACAATAGTACAATACATGATTAATGAATTGACAGTAGTCAACTACAAGTAGAATTCTCCAAAAAAGAAAAAGGAAAAGTGAGCTCAACACATAAAGAGGAAAAGTTTTAAAAGTACCTTGGGCACAGAGAGTGACATGCTGAAGCCCTGTGGGAAGCAGGCATGAGGACAAAGGTACACAGAGTTGCTGACATCTGTAAATAGAAGCACTACACTCATTAGCAAGGAAGCCTGGGGACATGGCAGTGGTGACAACTCAGTTATGAAACTTTGTAAAAGAAGCCAGGTTTTCAGAATCTGCCAGTAAAGCCTTACTCATTTCAACCCTGTTAATTTACAAGTTGTGATAATGTTATGGAGAGGGTCAGTGGTTTTCTCTGAGGTTTATGAAAATCCAAGTTTACCAAGCGACCTATCAATATAAATACAATTACCATGACAAATAAACATTCCCCAAACTTTTAAAGAGACTTCAGAAGACTTCTTTACAAACCAGAAAAAAATGAGATGAACATTATATATGATCCCCATTTATTATAACAAAATTGTCTGCCCTTTGGCTTTCTCTGCCCTTGAAATTATAATACCTTGCTTACTTCTAGTCCCTTTTCAGTTCAACTTGATGTGTTTTCATTATGCATGGAATTACCTTCTTTATTTAATCTTGATAAATTTGGGTGGTTAGATACTTTGGAACATTAAATTGGAAGTTCCATTGGTTAAGTTGTCGGGCAGCTTGTTCAAACTAATTTTAAGGTTTGGATTTTTTTTTCCACTTTCTCATTAGGACTTGCAGTCAGTTTCTTCTGGTTCCCAGAGAGTTCATTACCAGGTAACATATGATTGATTCTCCTTCCTTCCCTTCCAGCCCAGAGAAGCCATCTTTCCATTCATGTCTCCTTTTGATTTAGAGTCTATGTCTTCCCCAGGAAGGGGTTTACTCTAAGAACCTAGTAAAAGTGAGAAGTTTTCTGGTGTTTGTCCCTGAAGGCACTTCATTTATAATCTTTTTCAAATTATCTGGGAGAAATAACTTCTGTTATTCTGATTCTTTTGCATTTTCCTCATTTGGGGCCATCTTAATCTAGCACAAAATGGAACTACAGATTTTCCCTCTGATCATATGAAGAAGCATTATATACTAAAGTTCTCCCAGTGACAAACACCAAAAATTCCACTAGAGCTAGCTTAGCGGAGAAAAAGTCTCTGGGGTCTCATACACAAAATGTCCGGATCAAATCTGGGTTTCAATGTACCATTTGGTCATGGTTCACACTCCATTTTTCTACTTGTTTTTTTTCTCCCCGCCCCACTTTTTCTGTCAGTTTTACCTCTGGACTAGGTATTTCCATAAACCAAGATGCCTTCCCTTCTTATCTAAGGAGGAGAGTGCACTGCTTTCCATAGTCAGCAAACAAAATTCCTAAAATGCAATCAGATGGGCCCATGCTGGTCTTTTGGATCAGACCTAATTAACCCAGTCCGTCTCTCTCTTTTATCTGACCCACATCAAGTCTTCCAGAGAATGCAGGTCTCCTTTGCTCAAGCTGACTTTGAAATGCAGTTTCTCCCCAACTTCTTAATCCCTCCTGTGCTGTACAGACCTCTTCATCCAACCTCTTGTGCATTAGATTCCGCAGACACAATCACAACATAATGCACAGTGTTATCCTGAAGAGCAAGGTGCTTCTATAAAGCTCTCATACGCAAATCCTTTTCTCTGAGAGGCCCCTGAATCCTTCCCTTTTGGCAAGGGTGTGGGAAAGTCACATGCCAACAAGTTCTCAAAAAAAATCTTTCTTCATCATTTTATACTTTCACATGGGGGAACAATTTCAATACAGTCCCGGGTCCCCTAACAACAGGGTATATCCTGAAATAGGGATCATTAGGCAATTTAGTTGTCATGTAACCATCATAGAGTATACTTACAGAAACTTAAAGGGCTATGACGTTACTGTCACTGGGAGATACAATCTTATGGGACTGCTCTCTTGGTTGTCCATTGTTAACTATCATTATGCAGCATTTGACTGTCTATAGCATTTAACTTTTAAGTCCTGGTTTAGCTCCACATTTTGGGTGTTGGGGTCTGTTTTTCAATAACTGAAATTTCAAGTATTGTTTTTGTTTTTGAAAACAATAACAATAATAATTTAAAGAAGGCCCAATTCTTTGTAGCTGTCCAGGGAGTTTTGTTCCTTACCAATAGGCACCCTCTACCCTTGTCCGAAGTAGTTCATTTATCTGGAAACTCAATGACAGGAATGACCTTGGTGTCCTCACATGTGTTTACTTATCAAATAGCATGTCCCAAAATTCTAGAACCCTTTTTCCATTTGTACTGAAAGGATGAGAAGTCACTTAGGGAAACTTACACGTTATTCTTCAGATAGAACACACTATTCTTCACATTGTTGATTAGTGTATTTACCTCGAGCCAAATTGTTTTTTTTTTTTTTTTGGTTTTTCTCCGGTACCGGGAACTGAACTCACGACCTTGCGCTTGCCAGGCAGGCGCTTTGCCGCTGAGATAAATCCCCAGCCCCTCAAATTGTTTTTTAAAAGGTACAGTGCTTTTTAAGGTTTGAACTGCTATCTAACAAATGGCACTGCCAGTTATAAGATTCTGTGGGATTATAAGATTTTTTTGTTAAAGTTTTGTACTTTTTACTCACGTACATTTTGAACATTTGCAACTTTACCACAGTATTTTAAGCATTTGTCCTAACTACTTTTACGATGCTCATCCATTTATTTATTATCTGCTATAATTATTGTTTTGGTGTTTGAGTTTTAATGGTGAGTGCTTCTACTGTATTTTAATGCCATCTTTACAAATATCCACAGAGATTGGGAGATGACTGAGACTCTGGAATGTGATATAGATATTCATTTCACTTATTGTTTGGTAATATAAACATGCAGAAGAATTAATGATACTTTTCTGACTATGTCATTATCTTGATTCATTTTTGTTTTCTTGCAATCGAGTCAAACCCTGGTGTTAAGACTGCTGTTTCGAGTATGTCCTATTAAAAAGCTTTATGCACTAAGCATAAAAGATAACCAAGGTAGTGATCAAGAATGAGTATCAAAAATGTTACACCTCTACCGTCCTCTTTATGACAATAAAAGGAAGAAGTAGAGTTGGTGACAGCAAGACCTTTCCATATGAATAAATGTGAGAGCGTCAGGAAGTCCTGGATAGGCTCCTTAGACAAGAAGCTGGAACAGGAGAGAGGCTACGTTTGAATTAACGTGGCCAGAGTGCAGGGTCGGGGTGTTGAGGAACTTTCTGGGCACAATAAAGGACAGACAGTGGAGGCAAGGAGCATTTGGCAATGTCTGGAAACACTTCTTGGAATCTGGAAGAGGCCAAGAATGCTACTATGTATCATACATTGTGCAGAGTGGACCCACAACGAAGAGTCATCCACCCCAAATGTCAGTAGTAGAGCTGGAGAAATGCTGAGTCACCCTGACAGTGTTCAGTATAGAATTGCAGTCCATAGGCAAGTATAAGCCCCATATCAGTGATGTGAACCTTTTATACAAGAGTGCCCAAACTGCAATCCCAAACTCACATTTTCTTCGCAAAGTGCCCACACTACAATTACATCTGAATACTGAGGTTTCATTTCATAAAAAAATAACTCATACATTAACATCTTTTATCTTAAAAGAAAAACAAATGACATGCCTGCCATTGGTTTGTCACCACTTTCCTGGATGCAGGAGACAGAAGAAGAAACAGCAGCAGGAAGAGGAAGAGTAGGGAAGGAAAGCCGAAAGAAGCACCTGTGGTTGTGATAGGGTAGAATAAAGAGAGAGCCTGGGGGCAATTAGTGTTCCTTGTTTTGAAGACACATTAAGTTCCTCCATTTGCTCGGGTTTTCATGTTGCTGACACACAGTACCTGACACCCGTAACTTAAAGTAAGAGAGGTTTATTTTGGCTCACAGTTTCAGAACTTTCAGTCCATGGTTAGCAGTCTCAAATGCAGAAACAGCATGGTAGAAAGGCTTGCTATGGGGGAAAGCTGCCATCAACGCATCCAGGGAGTAGAGAGAAAAGAGAGAGGCCAGGGAGGGAAAGATACCGTTCCAGGCCACACCCCTAGCAACCCACATCCAACCAGGCCCCACCCTTAACAATACATTTAACCCTGAACTCATCCCTGGACCCATCCATTGATGAGTACAGCACCCCCATAAGCCATTCACTGTCCAAAAACCCCACCTCTGAACACACGGGGTTCTGGGAGACATTCTCAATTTGAACTATAATGGCAAAGATGAGAGAGTGAATACTCTGTGTTGTATTCCACTAACACTGTTCGGTCCTGGGAAAACAGTATTTTCCTACAGTATGGGATTTGCTCCTTTTCTCTGGATGCTGTCTTTCCTTATTTATCTCTCTCCTCTGTCTGAAATTTCTTCCTTCATTTGCTTTTTGGATAGTCAAAGAGTCCTTCAATGGATAAGGTAAAACAAGTCTGAAGGAGTCCTCCTGGAAATTAGTTCATCCTAGAGAAAAGTGGGGGCCCACTAGGAACTTGGCTAATGTTTTTCCTTTGGAGTGTATGGAACCTGGCAGAAGTGGGTCAAAGGAGGACAAAGTGAGAATTTCCCAGGGCCAGGTCTTTCAGGAGTTTCAGTTAAAGGCAGTACTATAATATTAATGTGAAGGATGTGGACAAACACACACAGGCACACACAAAGAGTTATTAATGGAGGACTTTCTCAACTAAAGGAACTCTTAAAATGTCAGAATGTTTCCCCTTTCCATCTTTCTCCACTGTTGCTATTTCTTCATTTTTCAGAGCTGGCTTTAAGAGTGGCTGTCCAATGTCTGTCTCATGCTAGTGGAGAGTTGTGCATAGTATCATAGGTTTGAAGTGAAAGGGTTTAGATATACAGATGTAAAAGTTAACAATGTTATTATTTGAAATTGTGGTTGGATAGAGACACATGAGCATGTATTTGTAAAAAACTTAGTGATAGAAGAAATGAATGGATACATTCATAGGTGTCAGAGATGTTGGGGCAGACATATGAAAAATTTGGATGGATCACTGAAAGAGGGATTTAAAAATAAGTGGATTTATTTATTAAATTATGTGGAGATACCCAGCCCAAAGGACTTTATTTTCCCTTTGCTTATATCCTTTCCAAATTTTATGAAAGAAGAAGAAGAAGTTCACATTGAAGGAAGAGTTAAATGATAGGTTAATATTGCTTAATTGGAGAACCTACTAGAGTATATAATGAGGCTTTTGTGCCTTCATCAAATTATATGTGCATCAGCCATGAGTAATTGGATGTAAATTAGTGGCAGGTTCACTGTATGCATGCCAAAGAGTGGCTAAGAATGATTCCCTTATTTATAATTTTATTTATAATTCAGACCAGTGGCTTTCAGAAAAAATATGCGTCACATATGTATGAGAAATAATGTATATATATGAACTATCATATAAATATACATAAAAGCTCTCAAGTTTGCCTTTGTATATATGATATATACACATACACTGGTATATATTAAAGATACAAGATTTGCTTTTGTACATGTGACCATATTTTGGGGGGGGGTACTGGGAATTGAATTCAGGACCTTGTGCTTGCCAGGCAGGTGCCTGTGCCACTGAGCTATATCCCCAGCATGTGGCCATATTTTTAGTGTGAGAAAGAGGTTTTCCATTAGGATACATCAAATAAAAGAATTCAGAATCAGGGAGTTTTGAAATGACCATTTTTTGTTAATATCATAGATTTAAAGACTATGCAATTGTAGAAGATTACTATATTTAGCAGAGGAGCATGGCAG